ACACGTGGTCCTGCTCCCAGTGCTGATCCCGGCCCTTATCCCAGTCCCGGTCCTGGTGCTGATCCCAGCCCTTATCCCGGTCCCGATCCCGGCCCTTATCCCGGTCCCGATCCCGGCCCTTATCCCGGTCCCGGTGCTGATCCCGGCCCTTATCCCGGTCCCGATCCCGGCCCTTATCCCGGCCCTTATCCCGGTGCTGATCCCGGCCCTTATCCCGTTCCTTATCCGCTGGCGCCACCTGGCGGCCAATGGGCGCCTCTCCCGCCGCTCTTAGCAGCAGCAGCAGCAAGAGGAGGAGGAGGAGGAGGAGGGGGAGGATGGTGATGGTGCCCTTGAGCCGCAGCCGGCGGAGGGCGAGGACCACACAGACCGAGCGGCAGAAGTGGCTGCCTCTCTGCTGCTCCGTGTGCGAGCAGCCTCGGACACACGGGCTGCAAACGCGCCGGGGGCTGCGCCCAGCGGCTTCCCAAGGGTCCTGTCCGCTCCTGCTGGCCCCATCCCAGGGACGCTGGGCAGCAGGTCTGCCCAGCCCCTGCGAGCATCCCACTGCGTCTTTCAGGGAAAAGTGTTGTTTTGGAAGGCAGACGTGTCTTTAAAGAGCAGCTCCGAGCAAAAGGCGCCTGTGAGTCCGTGCAGGACATTAGCATTCAGGGGGTGGCACTGCTGTCCCCAGCAGCGAGGCTCAGGTAAACCCGTCCTTCACAACCAGTAACGAGTGGAAATGGAAGGCTGGAAAATCAAAGCTAAACTGTGTGTGGGCGTCTGGGTACGAAAGGATAAATCTAATGGAAATATCCTGCAGCCAAACTGAGAAATCAGAGCAGGGCCTTTACTTGTGTCAACAGAAAGGCAGTGGAAATGGAAGGGACAAGGCTGCCATTTCCAATTGACCATCGCCATGGAAACACCTCAGTGTCAGGCGTGGAGGAGCGGGATGTGGGCACAAGGCAGGAATGGGCAGCTGGACAAAGGACCCGCTCACGCTCCCAGCTGCACTTTGGGGATTTTTAAAGCACTTTGTGTGGGTCAGGAGGGGCTGAGGGCAGGACTTCTGACACCAGGGCTTGCAGCAGGCTGTCAAGATACGTCGGGAGGCAGAGGCAAACAGAAAACTAACCTTGATGATTCTAGGTATTCCAGCTCTATCAGTCTATCCAACATACCAGTTTCATGGGGGAGGTCTCATTGTTGTTACTGAAGTGACAAAAGACTCACCAAACTGGGGCAGAGGAGCCACATGGAGGATATAGGGAATGGCTTGATAATGTTCTGTACATGTACATGTATGTGTAAGCTGTGTTCTGAGGAGGTGGTATGGAAGAGCAACGTCTTTGGAATAAAACCAGGAAGTGTAAAATGCTTGAAGTGGCAAAGAGAAATGTCTACGAGGATTCAGAAAGGGTGAAATGATCGGATTTAAATGTGGGAGGGTACTTTAGGGACAAGTTTTGCTTAGGGTAGAGAAACCACAGGGAGAGAAACAGGGAAACATCTGTTGATGGTGTTGGCTCTGGAGTGATGATGAGACAGTAAGGTAGAGTTCAGGTGATGGGGAGGAGGAAGATATCTGCAAGACAGCAGGACTGCAGGCCTGGAAATTGAGGAGGACTGAGTACCAGCAGCAGCAGCAGAAGGCAGAAATAGCCAAGGTGGTGTAAGAAACTTTGACAATCATATGTTTCTGTGTGCAAGTTTCCCTTGGATTCTGAGCAGCCTTTTTGTTGGTAATTCAGATCATCTTTCGTTCCTTTGCTCATGGTGGTCAAAGTCCTGGCAGTGCTAATGAACAGGAGCTGCTGGGCACTATCAGAAGGTCATTTTTATTGCCTTTTCTTCAAAAAGGAAGAAAGACAAGAAAGGTGAGAGCCCAAGTTTGTAAAAGAAGATTGCAGCAGCGTTAGCACTCTGAGTTGTGGACCCCAGCCTCACTTCTCTCCTTTGAGCACCCAGTGCAGCACCAGTAACTGCCTGGCTGTGCTGCCTGGTGCTGCAGGCGCTGTGCACAGGGTGTGTGGCAGGAGGAATGTGTTGCTGCTGTAATGCAGCAGCTTTTAGACCCCCCCCCCCATGCCATCACTGAAAAGGGAAGAGCTGAAGCAATTCACAGTTTTCATTTTAAATTATCAAGAAATGCAGTAGAAGTCTGAACAGGAATCTGGATTAAAATCCTTTCCAGAATTTCTGCTAAGCTTCAGACTTTTTTTTTTTTTCCCTTTGTGTTCCTATATTATGGCTGTATTTAATCAAACATAGTTCTACAGTGGTTTCACTTCTTGAACCACTAAGAAGCAGGAAGAGTATGTGTGTATGCTTTTTATTAGCCTTCCTTTCATAATGCACTTTCTTCCCTATAGAAATCTCCTTTCCTGCTGATTCATTATGTGTCAGGAAGCCAAGCGTGACATGTTAAAAGCCATCTTGATAGTGTTTGGTATTCAGTACTAACAATTCACCAGGCACAGGAGTCTTTCTTTAAAAGAGGGAGGAAGAAAATCTGCATATTGGATGTGCCAAGATAGTGGATAATTTGCATTAAGCATCCAGACATTCTTTTTTTGCAATCTGTCACCCTTCACTGGCTTTTTATTTTATAACCTTCATAGCATATGGGGAACATAAGTACCAAAAAAAAGGTGGCACCACGTGGACAGAAGCTGGAGCCCTTTGGGATCAGCTGGAGCAAGGCTAGAGAAGGACCTTTCCTCAGCAGCAATTGATCCTCAATGGGACTTTGCTATGCTGGAAGGACCTGAAAATAATAGGCATGGGTCTCTAAGTACCCAGCTATAAAGCTGTCCATCTTGCCTTAGTTTCTAGCTCACAGCTTGATTCAGACTTAAGAACCATTATCATGAATACACAAACCAGAGCTGTGATTCACTTCCCAAACTTGCCCCCTTGATGCTCTGCTTATCCCAGGATTTAGCAGCAATAGGGAGCAGTGCTGCCATCCTGCTGTAAAACAGACTTTTTGTACCCAGGCACACGGACACCAGCTCATTTCTTCAGCAAAGTATTTCTGAAGTAACCAGAAATTACCTAATGCAAAGTTTCTCAATAATAATTGCAGTTCAGTAACTTTGTGTTGTATAGCTGAAAGCGTCCAAAATAGTTGACTGCATTCTGATCTCACTGACAATGTATTTTTTGTAAATTTGCTATTTGTACATCACTTATTAGACATAATATCACTGGTGACAGAACAATGTATCTTCAATAATAAAATGAATGTGAGCAGAGGTAGTGAAGTGGCAAGCGTGTCTAACTTAGATGTAATAACAGAGACTGAGTGTTAAGAGGAAATCCAAAACTGTGAATATACTAGGAAGCAAAATCTGTTGGGCACGATAACAATAAATGTGGTCATCAAACAAACATAGAGGGACTTATTACAAAACTATCTGCAGCACTTTAAATAGTGATATGGGGAAGAATCCTTGTAAACCTGATTTACAGTATTTCTGCAGGTTATCCAGCCTGGCCAATAGCAATGTGAATTCTGCAGTATAGAACTAGACCAAGATGAGATGCTGTTAGGCAAAATGACATTAGTGGGTGAGGAGGCAATACAGCAACAGGTAACAAAAAAGCAATAAAACTGCTTCACAGAGCAATCCAGGAGCTCTGTTCCACCAGCTGCATGTGACACACTCAGTGAGCAGCATCAGAGAGAAGAACTGTTCACAGGATATGCTGCCCCTGTGACCACAGTCATTAGATGTCACAAACATCCCTCCATTTGCTTCTGATCTCCTGGCATGGTGCTGCTTTTGGCTTGTGCCCCAGCCTGTGGCTGTACAGGAGCATCAGCCCAGCCTGCTGTTGCCAGGATTTCCCCCTTCACATCAGGGACCTTCACCAAGCAGGGATCTGTGGCTTTACTACAAAGCCTAAGTCCATGGGACTTTCAGCTTTGATTTTGTGTAGTCTGGTTTAAGGATTTTAGAACACAAGATGCAAGGAACGTGCCTTGACAGACTATGGCAAAGACTCTGCTGAAAGAAGCTGCCAGACATGAGGACACCTTGGAAATTATGTTGTCACTTATCAGCACTTTCCAAAATCTGCACATGAGCTGTGGTGCATTTAAAGGATAAATAAATAATATGCACATATAAATTGCTCAGAGAGACATTAAAAGAGACAGAAGATGCTTTGAGTCAGTTATTATGGATAAAATATTTTATAAGTGCCATTTCCATTGTAAGTCAGGTTGCAAATATCACTGTTATAGGAAATTCTTCAACTAAAATATTCTGAGAGTGAGTCTTTATTCAAATCATGTATCTGCATGCAGTCTAGCATTCTTATTTAAATAGCTAACAGGCCCAGAGAGTTCCCAAGAAAAGAGCTTCAGTTTGCAACCTGTTCTGTAACATCACCCACCTGTCCGTTTTCCCAAATCACTAAAAGGTCATCCAAGTCTGAGGAGGAACTCACACAGTGTCTGTTAGTCACTCCCAAAAAATGAATCAGCCTTCACTGCTGCCACCCAGGATCTGACAATGAAGACCTGGCAGAAGGTTTGCATTTGCTGTTACTCTGGTGTACTTTTGGCTGCTGATTTTACTATAGGGCTGATTTTGTTTTTATATTAGACAGAAAAAGATTCCAAAACGCTCTTGGGATTATACTGCTTTACTTCAATGGAACCAAGTCTTTTGTTGGTTTTGGGCTTTCAGTGAAGGTTGCTGGTACTACAGAGAGTTGTTGCAGGTGCAGAGTCCCTGTTAGCAGCAGACTGAAATAGAGCCAGGTACTCTGCTGAGGAATTTTTCCTCTAAATATACCTAATTCAGGAATTGCCTTTGGAAGCCTGTTGATACCAAGGAGCAGAGAATAGTAAACCAATATCCATTACTGTTGCTTTTTATAGGGCTCCTTTCAGTTCTGACAGAAAGCAGCAGGACTGGATTTTTGCTGGTAATTTGGAGTGGCTTTTGATGGTTTTGGCATGATTTTGCAGTTTCTGATGGGAAATTTTACTGCTCTCTTTGCAGTTCATGGCATCAAGTGGACATGCAGCAATGGCAACAGCAGTTCAGGGTTCTCAGTGGAGCAGCTCGTGCAGCAGATCCTTGACAGCCACCAGACCAAGCCCCAGCCTCGGACACACAACTGTCTCTGCACTGGTACCTTGGGTGAGTACCTCGGGAGGGCACAGAGTGACAGCTTCATCCCGTCTGGGAGCAAGGCTTTTAGTACTGAGGTGATAAAAATGCTGTCTCATGAAACACTGGGACACAATGGACTCAAGAGTTGACGGGAGAAGTCTCCAGCATAAAAAGATGCAGCTGGAACTTCTGGGGAAAATGTCAGTGCTTTCTAATAAACGCAGTCCGTACATGAGCTGCTCAGAAAGGTACATTCTCTTCTACATGTGCAAACTCCGTTACCAAAGCCTCAAAATCTAATGTTCTTCCAGCTTCACCCTCTGAATTCCTTGCCCTGCAGCTCACTTTTTTGGAAAAGTGCTCAGGTGGTTAACTGCAAGGTATCACTGAGATACGACAGGTCTTATTTAGGTATCATGAAAATACAGATCTCTTTCTTGTTAAAGGAGATGACCTTGTTTTGGATGACACTACAGCAGCAAGAAACAGCATCCTTGGTGTTAGCATTTCCCACAGACAGTGGAAAGCTAAGTGATTCACTTTCCAACTCATCTGCTCCTTTCTAGCACGTTGGTCAAATAAAGTATATGACACATTAACTAGTCTTTAGCAAAGCTTATAAGGGAAAGTTGTCAGTGTTTCAAAGGGTTATTTTTTTCTTCTTTTCTTGAGCAGTTGTATTATACAATCAAGGCTTAAATAAGAATGATGACCTCTGAAATACCTGAGTTTGGATTAAAATTCACCCTTAAGGCTCAGCATTTGATCCAGGCTTGCAGATCTGAACATGAATCCTTTTATTCTTCCCTTTGATGTTTTGTCTTGTGCTAAGTCTGCTCAGTGCTTTTTAACACAACAGTATTGCTTTGTTTTGTAACTGGCTTGCACATTGACACCCACATTTCCAATCCCTTACTGTCATCCACAAATACAGCAGCATGAAAGTCTTTCCCTTGTTCCTGTTCATTTCTATACCTAGGAGAATAGAGAGATTTAATATTGTATTTAGTCTCAAAAGCACTGTCTTGAAATACTTTAAGTGACCTCATTCAAATCTTGAACACATAATAGAGAAGTTCCTCTTCAAGGGCAAGCAACAAAAGATTCAGCAAATTGTGGTGGCTACAAAAATGTTTTATGTTGCCCAGAAGATGGCATTTATAATTGTAGCCATGAGCTATAGTGATGAGGCTTCTTCCCCCTTCAGTCATTCTACAGTTCTGTAATTAATGTTGTTACCTCATGCCAGGGAAAATTAATCAATTAAGGAAAGAAACAATCAAAAATTCATGGGCTGCTGTTCTTTAAACAGCAAAAGCAGTCCCTGCACCAGAGTTTGTGACTAATGTGCCTTTAAAACAGAATTGTTTACTTCATCCTACCTGATTACAAGCTCTCAGGAATGCAGGTGATGTTACCTTTACAGACCAGTAATGTGCTGGCTGGTTTAATTCATGGAGAATTTTCTTCTGGTGGCCCTTGCTTGAACATTCTTCAGCAGCTCCAGTGCTGGCTGTGTGCTCCTCTCAGAGTTCAGTGTGTCTGTCAGCACAGGAATGGCTGAGAGTCAGACAAACACATCACCAGCCTTTTGGGAGAGCAAGAATGCTTTGTATGGCTAATGGGTTACTTCTTTAATAATCTGACTGGCAACTGTAAGACACAGTGATGACACAATGATGTGGACTACAGTCTAGGCAGCAGGGTGATGCCAGGGACAGGGGCATGATGTGGCATCAGTCACCTCCAGTTTACTGCTCAGCATCCACGCCCCAAGAGTGGTTGTCAAACTTCCCAGCCCCACCTGAGCATCCGTGCTCCAGGGGCTGAGGACTTGTCCGTGGGGCAGAGGGAACAGGGCCCTGTGCCACTGCTGACAGCAGCAGCACTTGCTCTGCAGACTTTGCACTGAGATTAGGCACATTTAAATAACTCTGAAACTTGTCACAGATGCCAATTCCCCTCTGATCGGGGCAGGGAGGAAGGGGGCAGGTGCTACATGGGGTGAGGGTAGGGGTCCCTATGTGCTTGCTGTGAGGTTGCTCTTATTCCATGCAGTGGATCTGTGCATTAGACAGGACCTGTACTTCTAGCACTGGTGAGAAATTTGTTTTATTTCCAAGATCTCTCCTGCTCTCTCATGTATGTACTCACTTACTGTCTCACATGTATGCACAAGCATAGCTGTCCCTTGCTACAGGCACGAGATACACAACTAGCATTGATCTAATTTTGTATTTACTGAACAGCAAATACTGTTGTTTTCTGGCACAGGGGCAGGAAGCAGTGTGCATCACAAGTGTAACAGTGCCAAACACCGCATCATATCACCAAAGGTTGAACCAAGGACAGGTGGGTACAGCACTCATTCAGAGGTACAAAATAACGATGTCTCTGAAGGCAAGAACGAGCACAGTCATGGCAAGGCCTCCAGCCGAGAGAAGAGGAACGGCAAAGTGGCGAAACCAGTGTTGCTCCATCAAAACAGCACTGAGGTTTCTTCCACCAACCAGGTGGAGGTCCCTGACACAACCCAGAATTCTCCTGTGTCCATCAGCAGTGGGTTAAACAGCGACCCAGATATGGCAGATAGCCCAGCTGTCACTGGTGTGTCCAGTATGGCTGTAGCGTCAGTTATGGGAAGTTTGTCACAAAGTGCCACCGTATTTATGTCAGAAGTCACCAGTGAAGCTGTGTACACGATGTCACCCACATCTGGCCCAAATCAGCACCTTCTGTCCTCAGATGCAGCTGCACAAGGACTGGTACTTGCTGTGAGTTCAGATGGACACAAGTTTGCTTTTCCAACAACTGGCAGTTCAGAGAGCTTGTCGATGCTACCCAGCACTGTCTCTGAGGAACTTGTGCTCTCCACAACTTTAGAAGGAAATAGGAAAATTCCAGAAACCACCATGAATTTTGACCCAGACTGTTTTCTTAACAATCCCAAGCAAGGGCAGACGTATGGTGGAGGAGGTATGAAAAGTGACAGCATCAATACCAACATAAGGCAGTCACCCACAACAGAACGTAGCTTCAACTTCAATACAACCCTCACAAAAGAAATTAAAACTGAGGACACATCTTTCGAACAACAGATGTCCAAAGAAGCATTTTCCTCCACTTCTGCATCTAACACTCTCACACTCAGTACTGGTTCAGGTTTACTTCCATCTGGAGGAGGTCTGAGCCCAAGTACCACCCTGGAGCAGATGGACTTCAGTGCCATTGACTCCAACAAGGACTATTCTTCCAGCTTCAATCAGACCGTCCAGAGCCCTCACGTCCATCAGACCCCTTCCCCCAGCTTCTTTCTGCAGGATGCCAGCAAACCTCTTCCCCTTGAACAAAACACTCACAACAATTTGAATGACACAGGTAGCTCATTTGTGAACACGTTAGGAATCTCCAATGTGAAAACAGAGTCCTCGTCCCAAACCACGTCCAACTGTAACGGCACAGTGGAAACCAGAATAGAGTCCACCTCTTCTCTCCAGCTCATGCAGTTCCAAGCAAACTTCCAGGCTATGACTGCAGAAGCTGAAGTTCCCATGGAGACCTCCCAGCAGGCAGAAGGAAATGAAAATCTACTTAAATCAGGGGATCTTCAAGCCTGCAACACAGAACACTACTTGCAGCCTGAGGCCAACGGGGGTATCAGGAATGGAAACAACCTCCCTATTCTCCAAGGAAACATGGTACAAGGACTCTATCCTGTGGCCCATCCCAGCTTAAATAACTCCTCCAACATGGAGCTTAACTTAGACCACTTTGACATCTCCTTCAGCAACCAGTTTTCTGATCTAATTAACGATTTCATATCGGTAGAAGGTGGGAGCAATGCTCTGTACGGACACCAGCTGGTGTCAGGTGACAGTGCTGGACTGTCTCAGCCTGAAGACAGTAACAGAGCGACGTACAACCAGGCCGAGATGTGCATTCCTTGCTGCAGCCCTCAGCAAGCCAACATGCAGCTCAGCAGCACGGAGAACGGAGCCAGCACCATGGCATACATGCACGTGGCTGAGGTGGTCTCGGCAGCTGCGGCACAAGGCACGTTGGGGTTGCTGCAGCAGAGTGGGCGCTTGTTCATGGTGACAGATTATTCACCAGAATGGTCTTACCCTGAGGTAAGTCCAGGGCTTTTACTCACTCATGCTTTATCTTGCGTTGCTTTGTTAATAAGGGAACTGTTTTGTTAAAGCTTTGAAAAGGCCTTTTAAAATATTTCTCTCCAAGTCAGAGCATTCAAGGCCGCTTGCATGTCTGAGGTGTACTTTTAATTAAGCACTTCATTATCCTGACAGGGCCCTTTCTTCACTTAGGAAGCATCTGAACAGAAAGGTATTGTTTCATTGAAAGCCAAGTCTTCTCCACATGATGGCTTCATGGTGCTACCTAGGCCCAGTAGAGCAGTAGTATTTGCAAACTGGAGCTGTTCCTTATATTTGTCACTGATGTTCCCAGGAGAATAATTCAAGGCCTGCACAGTCTTAATGAGTTCAGCCTTTCCCTCCATCTCACTGACTTCCAGAATCAGTCACATGCCCCATAAGCTGAAAATGGCAGCAGCACAGACCTTGCTGCTGTGGAGGAACGAGACTGTTTGAGCCACTAATGGGAAGAGAAGGTTATTTTGAATTTAAAAAAAAAAAAAAAAAGGTGGTGGGGGGTGTTTGTTTCCATAGGCCCGGCCTTCGAGCACTGTTGTGTGTGTTCGGGGGTGTGCAGTAAGTGCTCCGGGCCGGTCTCCGTGTCCCCGCAGCGCTGGCCGGTTCCCGGGGGGATGCGGCCCCTCGAGGGTGATGGGGCCGGCCCGGACATTCGCGGCCTTCGCCGAGCGGCTGCCGGGGGGCGAGCTCGGCAGGCCCGGGCCGGGGCTGCATCAAGCAGGGAGCAGTACCGGGCTGGGGCGGCACGGGGCTGAGAGCGGCACCGGGCTGAGAGCGGCACCGGGATGGGGCGGCACCGGGATGGGGCGGCACCGGGCTGAGGCGGCACCGGCTGAGGCGGCACGGGGCAGGGAGCAGCACGGGGCTGAGAGCGGCACCGGGCAGGGAGCAGCACTGGGCTGAGGCGGCACCGGGCTGAGAGCGGCACCGGGCTGACAGCGGCACCGGCTGAGGCGGCACGGGGCAGGGAGCGGCACCGGGCTGAGGCGGCACCGGGCTGGGGCGGCACCGGGCTGGGGCAGCACCGGGCAGGGAGCGGCACCGGGCAGGGAGCGGCACCGGGCTGAGACGGCACGGGTCAGGGAGCGGCACCGGGCTGAGAGCGGCACCGGGCTGGGGCAGCACCGGCTGAGGCGGCACGGGTCAGGGAGCGGCACCGGGCTGAGAGCGGTACCGGGCTGGGGCAGCACCGGCTGAGGCGGCACGGGGCAGGGAGCGGCACCGGGCGGCCCCGGGCTGCCGCGCCCGTGCCCGGCCGTGTCGCTGCCGGCGGCGGCCGCCCGAGGGCAGCACGGCCGCGGGGAAGGGGCGGCGGGCGCGTCCGGCCGCGCCGCTCCCCGCCCTGGCCTCTCCGGTCACGCTTGGGTCTCTCCGTTTTTTCCTCACAGGGAGGAGTAAAAGTCCTGATAACCGGCCCGTGGCAGGAAGCCAGCAATAATTACAGCTGTCTGTTTGATCAGATCTCAGTGCCTGCATCTTTAATTCAGCCAGGGGTACTGCGCTGCTACTGCCCAGGTAAGGAGCACGGCTCTCCTACATCTGGGGGTTTCGGAGCTTCATCATGTCATATACTTGTACAAAAGTGCATTGGCATCGAGAAGATTTTCCTTTTTGTTTCACCAGTTTAGTGTGAGAACAACAATTTGGCATTTTGATACATCACAACAGATCACAACAAATACTATTTAGAATCTCTGAATTAACTTTAAAATAATTATTTGAAGTAATTTAAAATAATTCTAAGCATTCTTTTTGTTTTGAAAGAGCAGGTTAAAGAGTAGCTGTTTCTCAGGGGTGCACTCACTGCTCTGCTGGCTCAATTTGCCTATGTTTTGCCCTTTGCTACTTACAGGAGAACACCTCAAGCTCCCCACAGAGATTATCAGTAGTGATGCTGCCCAGTTTCTAGGAGAGAAGCATTTACCCTGGAATTGTCTTTCCTGAGAACTCTGAAACTTGAGCTTGCCTAGAAAAATGTGTGTTTATTTAAGCAGAAAATGAGGAGATAGTAAGGCACAAGAGGGACATGCTAAAGAAGCTGGGATGGTACCACTTCGAAAGAGCAGCATGGAGACAGAGCCCTGTGGGTATTGCAGAGTGAAGAGAGGTTTGTGGTGTGGCTGCAGAGGCACGGTTGCAAACAGAAACAGAACTGGCTCTTAACGAGGAGGTGCACTACCTCTTATGTTCAGCATCAGAATCGAATTTGCTTGACTTGAGAGGATTGTGAGAGTCTGTAGGTGCTTTTCGTCTGCTGCCAGGGCCTCCTGCTGTCTGTGGAGTGCAGCTGATAGGGTGTGATGGTGATTGATACTCAGCAATCTCTCCAGGGCTGGCACGCCAAGTGGGTAGGTTTTGGATCCCTTGTTTGACAGTTCCCCAGTGCTGCTGAACTCGGAGGAGCTGAGAAGGTGGCTGTGAGTGCTGTCTCGGGTGTCCCTGCAGCTTCTCTGGGTGCTCTTGGTTAGCAGCCCAGCTCTCAATTAGAGGTTGTTATGCTGTGGTGATGGTGGAAGGGAGGGGGACTGCAGCAGTGAACAAACTAGGGCATTGCTAACAGGGAGGGGAAAAAAAAAAAGTAAGAGGACCGCTGCATTGCAGAGGCCCTTCAGGGAAAAAGACTGAATAATTATACTAACCATGATTTATCAGAAGCCTCTGCCTTGATGCACAGTGCTCCAAAGGGAGGAAATTACACTGTTATTTAAAGGACCAGCTACATCTTCTCATTTACTGCTGGAGAACAAATGTTAGCTTAGCTAGCCAAGGTGAAAACTAATGTGAGTTGATTCTATCAATTGAATGAATACACAAATCCCTGACTTCTCTGTTTGCTTTAACTTCCCTGCTTAAAATCCTTGCACTACTGATTGTTACGTAGTCTTGAGGGAAGAATTTCGAGGAATATTTGTAGTCACAAAATATTGACAAGAATTTTAAAATTCCTTTTAATTAACTCAGTGGAACACTCTGAGTTCCTTTGCACTGCATTGTTGAAACAGTTCATGATTCCAGATAGAATGACCAGTGCCAGAGAGAATAGAGCTAACAGCCATACCCCAGGAACACCCTAGGAAAAAAACAAGCACTTTCCATCTCATCTAAGTTTAGATAAACAATTCCCTTCCACAGATTTCTTTAAAATAAAGTCAAAATCACTCTATATGTGAACTCTATGTTTTCAGTTACATTATGACAAAAATCACTATTTTTTTAAGCACAGGACAAGTACTGGCCTTTGGGATCAGGGAACAGTCCTGCTAATGACTGGGAAGAGTTGTGAGACCATCTCTCACCATGCTTCTGCTTCTAGGCATTGAGCCAAGTGTAGGAATGGCAGAGAAGGAGTCTGAAGGCAGCCTGTTCTGTGCCATCCTCTGAAGGGCTCCTTCCTTCATCAGTGTCTGTTGTGCCATGAAGGATTGTGAACCCTTTTCTGAACTATGCAGAGATACTTGTTTTATTCTGAGTTTTCCTTATTTCACACCATGGGTGAGTTAGGTCTTTTACAAATGGACAGTTGACACCAGCTGCTGATGTTCCTGCATTTTTTCTACTTAATTTGAATAGTGGTATTCATTATTTTCAAAGCAAACCTTTTTCTCATAAAGGAAGCACTCTCATGTGATCCTGATCTCTGCTGATAAACTTGGCAACCTTTTCTGTTTTTTATGTAAAACTCAGTTCTCAGAAGCCATTGTGTGCTTTTGTAGCCATTTGATCTCACTTCCCATTCACTGTCTGTAGAAAGGTTCTTTTAAGAAAAAACAAAAAGCAAATGAGGCTTGGAGAACTGAAGGCTGAACTGAAGGTCAGAGATGATCTCATGGCAGATGCATAACAAATTATAAAGGCATTTCAATACAGATTCCCAATGGAAAGCATGTTGTGTTTGCCCTCTGCAGAAGCCTTTGCTGGTTTCATAAAATGTGTGTAGAGATGGTGTTTCCTTGGCACAGAATGTGATCAGAAATTCCAGGGAAATGGCTATGAGTGCTGTTGGCATTACACTTATGCATCTGCAGGAAAGAGGACAGAACCTAAAAACAGGGGCAGGCCATGTGTGTACTGATGAGTCAAGTGTGTACGGGTTGGACAGGGGTGTGACTGGCACTGAATGCAAGTGGCACTGACGCAGGAGCACCTGACAGGCAGCACCTCAGCTACTGCTGGGCTCTCAGTGTATGATCTGGCTGTCTTTCCCAGCTGGAAAACATAAAAAGACTCGGGGAGTGGGGCTTGGTGGCTCATTTGTGTTGGCGTGACAAGGCCACACCAGTGGTATCCAAACTTTCACTTTAGCATGGAATCATCTGTGAGCAAACAGCCTGTGTGTGCTACCTGTGGCATTCCACAGGTTGACAGGTACATGATCCCTGTACAGTGGTAATGTTCATCACCAAAACCCATGGCATCTTCTATTTAGTGGGACCAGATGCCCTTCTTACCCTGTGAAGAGATGCAGGACACCAGAGTCAGGTAGGAGAGATGTGTTCAGTATCAGTGAATGTTTTGCAGCTGTAAGAGACTTTCCATAGGAAAAAAGTCTATGTTACAAACAGTATTCACAGTTTTTCATTCCTCTTTCCATCTGGGTAAAGGTGACTGGTGTTTACATCTTGGATGTTACCATAAAAGATTATCTATTTGGGTTCTCTCTGGGAAGAGAGGGATGAATGTTAAAAGGCTGTGGTAGCTTGCAGGGATGTGTGAGCATTGGTAGAGGACACAGATACCTTGTCCCTTGACAGGAGCTCTCTAGTAAATTCCTTAAGTTTCTATTCATCCTCCTCTGTACTGACTCCTGTGTAGTGTGGAGCCTTTGTCAGTTCTGTTTATATTCCCGCTGTGTTTGGTGTTTTTTTTCCTTTCACATACTATTATCAAGAACACTGTTTCAGGAAACCAGTCTCCTACTGCTCTGACTGCATTTCCCAGACTGTCCTTTTCCATTTTGATCATAATGTGATTGAATTGAGGCAAGGAGTATTTCATTTCCTATGCTGAGTGTTGTCTTCTGAGCCAGCCTGACTTCATGGTCAGACATTGGATTCTTCTGGGAAGCCGTGTCTGTTCTCAGGCCGATGACAGAGCGTGCCCTGCTGCCCCGAGCAGTCTGCCCGGGGGCCTGTGCTTCCTCCGTGGATCGTGGGACCGCAGAGTCTCCGAAACTGTCCGGTTTTACCGCCTCGCAGATTTGCCTTATTAGAGCAATAAGTGAAAGTACAAATACTGTGTGCGTAGCGAAATGAGGAGAGCCGTGGGATGAGCGGGAAGGTGACCCAGGGACGGCGCGTCCCGGGCTGACTCGCTCGTGCGCGGCGCGCTCCGGGGGCGGCGGGCGCTCGGTGCCCGCTGCGGGGCCGCTGTAAACACGGCGGCGGCCGCCAATGGGGCCCGGTGACGTCAGGGCGGGGCGGGCCCGGCGGCGGGCGCGGAGATGCCGGCCCGTGCCCCCCGGAGCCCGCTGCCGACCGCGGCCCCAGCGCTCGGGCCGCGATGCTCGCGGCCGCTGAACGGCGCCCGGGCTCGTTCTCCGCCGCGGCCGGCCGGGCCGCCCCGAGCCCCAGCGATGCCGGCCAGCATTAGCCCGGCCAGCATTAGCCCGTCCGCTGCGGCCGCCGGGGCGCGGGGGTGGCACCGCTGAGACCCGCCGGCGCTGCGACAGGACGGCGGGGCTCCAGCTGGCTGCGAGGATGCGAGAGACGACAAGCAGGTCTGGGGGGAGCCTGCTCTGCCCGCCCCTGCTGCGGGGTCTGCGCCAGATGCTGGCTGGAGCCTCCGCCGATGCCTTGTAGACTCCCAGGTCAGTCCTCTGGTGCCAGGTGTTGTCACGTTATTTACCTGGAAGCAGGTAGAGGGACTACAGAGGGGTCCGGGACCCCCAGCCGTTGCGTGGATGCGCACATGTGACAAAGTGCTGCTTTCAGTAAGTATTGCAGGATGAAGTGTTGCGCAGTGCTTGTTTGGGTTTAAATCTGCATGCTTCTGTGTTGTGCCTCACTCTGCTGTACTTGCACGGTGATTGCACGCCTTGCTGCTCGCTGTGCCCCCTTCGCTGTGCCCCCAGCCATGGGATGTGGTCGTGTTTTGGTCCTCGGCCCCTCCCGTGTTGGTCCTCAGCCCCTCCCGAGTGATGTTGCGATGCAGGCTCGGAGTTGTGACAGCACTTTAATTGTAGCATCACGTGTGCAGCAGGACACATTACATCGGAGCGCCTGCAGCTCACAGCCTCGTGTTCTGAGCTGCTACGGCACAGAAGGAGGTCGGTAGCCCAGACCTTCTTGGGGATCTTAGGGATGCTGGAAACACACGCCTGCTCCGCACCACGGTATTGGAAAACTTGTTTTGCAGCGTGCTTTGGCAGAAAGAGCGGGACTAGGAAGAGGACTTCAGGAGGCTGTGTGGACTGCTCGCAGTTTAGATGGGGTAAACATGACTGACGTCAGACTTCATGAGAGCTTCCAGCAAAGGAGATCTCTGTCTCACTTGCTGACCTGTTCCAGTGCTTCAGT